ATCATAACAAGTGTTAAGACAAGGGCTGGGCGCAGTGGCTCACGCCTGTAATCCCAGCACTTTGGGAGGCCAAGGTGGGTGGATCACCTGAGGTCAGGAGTTTGAGACCAGCCTGGCCAACATGGCAAAACTCCGTCTCTACTAAAAATACAAAAATTAGCTGGGCATGGTGGCATGTGCCTGTAATCCCATCTACTATGGGGGCTGAGGCAGAAGGATTGCTTGAACTTGGGAGGTGGAGGTTCCAATGAGCCGAGATTATGCCACTGCACTCCAGCCTGGGCAACAGAGCAAGACTCCATCTCAAAAAAAATAAGAGTGTAAGACAAAACCAGCAGGCCAAGAACAATAGCTCATACCTGTCATTCTAGCACTTTGTAAGCCAAGGTGGGAAGACAGCTTGAGCCCAGGCTGGTCTTGGAGTTTAATACCAGCCTCAACAGCACAGGGAGACCCTAACTCTACAAAAAACTTTAAAATAAAAATTGCTGAGCATGGTTGCACACACCTATGGTCCCAGCTACCTAGGGGACTGAGGTGGAAAGATCACTAGGGCCCAGGAGGCAGAGGTTGCAGTGAGCCATGATCATACCACTGCACTCTACCCTGAGCAACAGAGTAAGGCCTGCCTTAAAAAAAAATTTTTGACATTTGTGGGCCTCTCCTTAAAAATGCACACCACTGAACTCTGCATATAATCTAGGGAGTAGGCAACCATGGACTTTATCCTCAAAACTGCTGATAGATGAAATCACTATAAACAGTGACCCAGATATTGAGCCTTCACAAGTTGGGACAAACATTTTGTTCACGGAGTCAGAAACAGATGAGAAGATATTGAACTGCAGACACTTAAATATAAAGGGGATGGTCAAGCACTCAAGAAAGGTTCAGCAGACAGTTGTGAGCAGTGGGGTTGGAGCTGAAGTGAACCTCACTTGAAAACAGATTTGGTAATTACCTACAAAGGGTCAAGGTTTCCATAACTGTGAGCCTCCTGTGAACAAAGGGTGCTACACTGGTGTCTGAACAAACATGTGAACAGACATATGAGGCAGAACATCTACTCCCAAGGTGACAGGGTGAGACTCAGTCTCAAAAAAATTAAAAATAATAAAAATTAACAAATATTAGCCAGGCACAGTGGTATGTGCCTGTAGTTCCAGCTACTCTGGGAGAATCACCAGAGCCTGAGAAGATGAGGCTACACTGAGCTGTGATTGCACAACTACACTCCAGCATGGGCAACAGGGTTTAAGACTCTGTCAAAAAAAAAACACAACAAAAAACAACCACTAACGAGCTGGGCATGATGACTCGTGCCTGTAGTCCCAGCTATCTGACAGGCTGAAGTGTGAGAAATCACTTGAGTTTGAGGCCAACCTGGACAACACAGCAAGATCCCATGTCTAAAACAAACAAAAATAACTGAGATAATTGGGAACATTTAAATATGACTTAATTTGAAAAAAATTAAGGTATTATTTTATTTTTTAGGCAGAATAATAGTACTGTAGATTTTGTGGCTAGCTCCTTGTCTCTTACACACTGAAATATACAGAGAGAAAATAACATTTCAGGGCCATGCGAAGTGGCTCACGCCTGTAATCCCAACACGGGGAGGGCAAGGCAGGCAGATGGCTTGAGCTCAGGAGTTTGAGACCAGTCTGGACAACATGGTGAAACCCCATCCCTACAAAATATACAAAAATTAGCCAGATGTGGTGGTGGGGGGGGTGCCTGTAGTCCCTGCCACTAGGGGGTCTGGGGCAGAAGGATCACTTGAGCTCAGAAGGCGGAGACTACAATGAGCCAAGATCGCATCACTGCACTCCAGCCAGGGTGACAAAGTGAGACCCTATCTCAAAAAACAAAACAAAGAGCCAGTGCAGTGGCTCACGCCTGTAATCCTAGCACTTTGGGAGGCCGAGGTGGGTGGATCACCTGAGGTCAGAAGTTCAAGACCAGCCTGGTCATCATGGTGAAACCCCATCTCTTAAAAAAAAAAAAAATTTCTGGGATGCTCCCTTTAAAATTCAGGGGTTTTGGGCCAGGTGCAGTGGCTCACGCCTATAATTCCAGCACTTTGGAAGGCTGCGGCAGGTGGCTCACAAGGTCAGGAGTTCAAGAAAAAAAAAATATATTTTGTTTGAGACAGAGTTTTGCTCTATCACTCAGGCTGGAGTGCAGTATGCTCAATCTCCACTCACTGCAAACTCGACCTCCTGGATTCAAGCAATTCTCCTGCCTCAGCCTCCTGAGTAGCTGGGATTACGGGCACCCACCACCAGTCCTGGCTAATTTTTGCATTTTTAGTAGAGACAGGGTTTCACCATGCTGGCCAGGCTGATCTCAGACTCCTGACCTCATGATCCGTCCGCCTCCGCCTCCCAAAGTGGTGTTACAGGTGTGAACCAGCAGGCCTGCCCTTTCTTTAAAAGGTAGAGTAGTGATTGGGGTGGGCAAAGTGTAGATGAAACAAGATTGGCCAGAGTTGGTAACTGCTGAAGCTGGTGATGGGTGACAGACCCAAGTCAACTGTGCATCATCTCAGCAAATTAACTTCTCCAAATTCTGAGGTGGGCTCTAAATTCAATTTTTGGAGAAAAGGACATTTTCTTGCCATCAGAATATACTATAAAACAGTACTACTACTTATTACTTTTATTACATGGTACACAAACAGACAAAAACATAATTTATTCAAAAAAAACCCCAAACATGTTTTAAAATGTAATAACTGAGAATCATCATCTGCCTACTTTCTAATGTATAAGAATGGGTTCAATTTGTTACTTAAGATGCTTATCGGCCGGGCGCGGTGGCTCACGCCTGTAGTCCCAGCACT